GCGGTGGTGGTAGTATAGGCATTGGTGGAGGAATTTCAGGACATGGGATATCAGCATCACATGATATTTGTTCTTGAGAAGGTCCGGCACACTGAAAGCGGATTCACTGTCTGGCTCAAGGTTTCAGCTATGCAAGGCGACTTACTCCTTCCACGCAACTACACTGCCTTGTACGGTAGGTGGTGCCTCCTGTCCCACATGTGACACTACACTGTGACCACGGTGACCACTTAAATAATGTCTCGTCACTTTTTATATAGTTATGAAAAGGCTTTAAACTTACCGAGCTCCATTCGCAGCAAGGTTGTGTATTACATGTACTACTTTCTGTCGCTACTCCAACACAGCAAGTATTGCATGGGTCTTTGCATAACCGAACTCGATAAGATACACCACCGCCACAGGATGCACTGAAAGAGTTGATTTTTGAGGTGCAAAAAAGCATAAATTAACGGAACTGGAATTATAGGGAGCGAGGACGATGAATGAGACGGGCAGTGTATGGCAGTGATGAATGGAGCCCTCTCCCCCTTCCGAAACATGAAAAAGTGTTATTTCTGGTCAGTAGCATATATGAGTTTCATACAAGTGTGCAGATGACTGTCCCAATTATATATAATCTAAATATATCTTGCCCCTTTCAAGAATTTATGGGTTACAGACCCGTTCAAAAATTACAGTCCTGCACGATTTGTAAAGGTCCTGAAAAAAGTTTTTCGGAAAGTTTATCTCAAAATTTATTAGCCGCCTTTATTAAGAAATTTTATGTGCTCCCACACCAGAAAAATTTCTCGGACTACTTTGTTTGGAAGACATGGTTTAACTTTAATTGTATTTCTTAAGCATTACTATTCCAAGGAAACTTTTCTTACCTACAGGAACTCCAAGGACCCCAGTTACTCCACTGTGGTTGTAGTGCAGGAGGCGGTACCATTATGGTGCAAGGTCTTGCTTCACTATAAGAACCGCCGGCGCAAGATGTCATGGAGCAAGTGCGAAATCGGGACTGTGAAGTCACTTCAAAAACTTATTTAGATTCTGTTAAAGTTTCAAAATATTTGGTTCTGACGTACCAGTCAAAGCCGTGGTGCAAGTGGTCCATTCACTCCATTCTGACCATGTACCAATTTCACAGGCGGGACCGCAGCCTATGGGTACTACACCCGTACCAATAACAAATGAAGAGGCAACTAAAATTTTGCATCGATGAGAACACATAACAAATGCAGGGAGCTATAAAATTTGTGTACTTTAACTCAGAGAGAAAATTGTACTTTCTTAGTACATTCGACCGACCTTTGGTCAAAGACAATAGAACGGCAGTGAAGAACATTTGTCGAGTGTCAATAAATCTTTGGCGACTTTTCCACAGCTCAGCTTTTATATACATCAATAGTGTGTTTGCCAAAAAGTTCAAGAAAACTCCGTTCCCCGCCCAGTCTTGTTTTCTTTAGCCATTTTTCTAAAGTATTACTCACAATGCTTTGAGAACTGGTTTTTTCGTGGGAGATGCGAATTTGTTGAGGAATGACGTCATCTAATAGGGTGAATCCAGAGTTTTCATAGTCGAAATTTTTCTGGTTATTCAGATAAAAAAATGTTTTCTGGCTTTTACGACCGCTTCACGCTCAGAGGTCTGACAATAGAATAGGTGTTGAAATTGAAACATCAAATCGTTTTTGCTGTTTCGTCGTCCTCATCAATTCCAAAAAATGCTTGAAAAATGCATAGATGCATTTCGTATTCGATCGTCCCTATCTGAGAAAAATAATATTTTGCACTGTATTTTCAGGAAATCAAATTGATTTTTTATAGTTTCTATCAAGTCGATGTTTTTTGCTTCAAACTGGTATTGTTGTGCACCTGTGCGATGAGTAATACCTCAATAAGCAAATATATTCCTTATTACAATCTTTTTGCTGGTTCCTCATACCTCAGACA